ACACACACACAAACACACATAAACAAACACACGTAAGGCAAATGCACATACAACAACGACATGGTCGTGAAACACATGAAAAGAATTTACTATTAGCAGCCCAAGACATTAAATAGGTCAGATCACGTATATCAAATAGGTCAGATTGTGTATACTAAATAGGTCAGATCATGTATTTATATGTAATAAGGTCATGGGTCAACCAATCAAATGAGGCCTTTTCAATTTGTATGCTATTAGTGTTTTAATGTAAATTTTTATGGGTAGGAATTATTCGTAGTTTTTCTTTGAACTTTTCATGAAATGGAATTTTTTTATGTAAATTATTAAAACTTTTATTCATTTAACCAACTCATTCATTCAATCATTCAACTAACAATCAACCACTCAATTGATGGGTCAATTTATCAACCAACAAACAAACAAACAAACCCCAACTAGCAAACCAAACCCAACAAACCAACCAATCAACCAACAAACAAACCAATCAATCAACCAACCAACAACCAGCCAAAAAACTACCAACTAGTCAAAAACCGACCGACCGACCGACCAACCAACCAACAAATTGTTCAATCGATTAATCAAACTAGTCAATTAATCAATCAATTAACCGATAAATTGGTTGATCAATTAACCAATCAACCAACCATTCAAACCTGAGCCTTGAAAATTTTCTTTTGATATTTCTTACGTAACTCAACTTTTCCTTCAAGCTTTTCATAAGATGGTTCGTTTGAAGCGTGGATTCATTCATTCATTCTTTCAATCTTCCATATTTTCTTTCATTCATTTATTCATTTAATTGTTTGGTCATTCAATTATTCATTTATTTATTCATTCAATCAGTCAGTCATTCCCTCGTTCGTTCGTTATCTTTTATTCATTTTTTCTTGTTAATGAGTTAGCTCCTTTGTTTGTTTGTTTATTCGTTCGTTCGTTCATTCATCCATTCATCTATTCATTCACTCATTCATTCATTTATTTTTTTCCTTCATTTCTCCATTCCTTCATTCTTTCATTCATTCATTCATTCATTCATTCATTCATTCATTCATTCATTCATTCATTCATTCATTCATTCATTCATTCATTCATTCATTCATTCATTCATTCATTCATTCATTCATTCATTCATTCATTCATTCATTCATTCATTCATTCATTCATTCATTCATTCATTCATTCATTCATTCATTCATTCATTCTATTCATTCATTCATCCATTCATTCATTCATTCATTTTTTGAAGAGTGCAACGAGATACTCATCTCGATGAGGAAGAACAAAAAGCGAGATGTCATTGTTGAAGGTGAGAGTAATTTATTATTATTATTTATTATTCATTATTATTATTATTATTATTATTCATTATTATTATTTATTTATTATAATTATAATTATTATTATTATTACTAACATTACTAGGATTTTATTCATTTTTCTCTTTCATTCCTTCAGTGAAAGGATTGAGAACGGGTCAGATTCAGCAGCAGCATGTCAGAGTCATGAACGCTCTCTTTCAGGTCGGCTCAGTTTTTTCTTCCATCATTCCTTCGTTTCTTCATTGATTTCGTCATTCATTTGTTTGTTCCTTCGTTCATTCGTTCTTTTATTTATTAGCTCATAAGTTCGTATATTCATTCATTCTTAATAATTACTACGAATTAATGATAATAATTATAACAACAACAACAACAATAATAATAATACAAATAATAATAATAATGATGATGATGATAATAACCTCTGGCTGATCTATTTGATATGAGTTCAGTGGGAGAATGTAAATAGATAATTATACGTTTTATCAGTTCTCGGTTAATTAGGACCTATCAACTTACACTGGTGTACAAATTATCAATTTGTTGTTGTTGTGTTGTTGTTTTGAATTTAGTTGTGGGAATGTCGGGATATTGTTGTTGTTGTGTTGTTGTTGCTCTGAATTTAGTTGTGGGAATGTCGGGATATTGTTGTTGTTGTGTTGTTGTTGTTCTGGATTTAGTTGTGGGAATGTCTGAATGTTGTTGTTGCTATGGATTTAGTCGTTAGATGTTGTTGTTCTTGATGTTGTTGTAGTTGTGTTGTTGGTGTTGTTCTGGATGTAGTTGGTGGAATGTCGGGATGTTGTTGTTGTTGTTGATTTATTGTTGTCCTGGATCTAGTTGTTGGGATTTGTTGCTGTTGTTGTTGATTTAGTTGTTGGGATATCGGGATGCTGTTGTTGTTGTTGTGTCGGAAATGCTAAATTTGGATTACCGTAAATTAAGATGTTAGTTTTTTTGGCTTGGTTATGTTTTGTTGTTGTTAAGTAAATAGTTGTTGTTGTGGTTTGTTGTTGGACTATATTACGTTTAATAATAGTAATAATAATAATATTTATAATAATAATAATAATAACAATAATAAATAATAATAATAATAACAAATAACAAAATTAATAATTACAGCTCGGTAGCCAAGAGTCTACGGCTAAGAAGATTGACGTCATCAATAGTGTAACTGGGAACATGCACTGCTCTGCTACGTTCAAATTGTGAGAAAATTTTATTATTTCATTTATAATTATAATATACTATAATTCGTTCTCGCATCCATCCATCTATCCCATAATTTATTCATTCATTCGTTCATTTGTTCGTTCGTTCTTTCTTTCGTTCGTTCGTTCATTCATTCATTCATCCATTTGTTCATTTATTCATTCATTCATTCATTTACTCACTCACTCACTCATTCATTCATGTAATTATGATTGCAACATTACAGTTCGCCATTCAAAGTATTCAACGAAGGTCACATCAGGCTTAGCGTCTCGTTACAAAATAAAAAGTCAGTCTCTGTCTGTCTGTCTGTCTGTCTGTGTGTACGTGTCTGTCTGTCTCTGTGTACGTGTCTGTCCGTCTATCGGTTTTTGTGTGTGTGTATGGATGCAGTGTGATTTTTTTTTATTTTATTTTACCTTGCGTTGACAATTAATAATTTTAACAATCCTCTATAACTTATTATACATAAAGAAGAAAGAGAGAGTGATAGAATGAGAAAGAGAGAGAGAAAGAAAGAGAAAGAAAGAAAAAGAGAGAGTGAGTTATAGAGAGAAAGAAAGAGAGAGAAAGAAAGCGAGAGGGTGAAGAAGTTCTATAAAAAAAATCCAGTTGCAATTACCTGGCATTGTACGAGGATTCATTAAATTAATAATTGACGACTAGTTGTCCACTCGATAACCACTTGTTCGTTGTGGCATGTTTAAAATTGTCGCACTGACGATTATTTTCAGTTTGTGTGTGTATGTGTGTTTTGGTTCGTGTGTGTGTGTGTGTGTGTGTGTTTATGTGTGTGTGGATGTATACTTGTGTGCTATTAATACTAATAGTTTTAATGAAGATAGCACTAAAAGTGACAGTACCATAAATAATTTTAATATTATTTATTACTTTTGCGGCTAATATCGCAACTACAACTGCTGCTGCAGCTACCACAACTACTACTAACTTTTAGTATTGCGGCTACGGCTACTGCTGCTACAACTACTGCTACTACTACTACTACTACTACTACTACTACTACTCTTTCTGTTACTACAATTACTGCTACAACTAATAGTAATAATATTATATTCAATTATTAAGAATTATTTATATAAAAGTTTAATTATGGTTATAATTTTTTATCCTCTAGTGAGATAACAAAACTTGGTTCTCTGCCGATCTCAACTCTAAACGTCATACAGTTATTTTCCGATGAGCAGGTAAAAGATTTTACAAAATAATATCCCTGCTACTATTACAACTTCTACTACTACTACTACTATTTCGCTGCTGCTACTGCCACTATTTCTACTACTACTACTACAACCGCTACAACTATTGCTGTTGCTATTATTACTATTATCATTTTTGCTGCTACTACTTCTGCTACTATTGCTGCTGATGCATACACTACAGCTTCTTCCTTACTATTACTACCACTATTTGTACTATAACTATTATTATTTCAATCATTACTATTATCATTATTGTTTATTTATTATTATTATTTATTTATTAATTTATTATTATTTTTGCAAGAAATCATCGTGGGAGCAAGAGACGTGGAGATGTTTGTGTGATGGTGACACGACCGATGAAAATGTTCACGAATGTAATAAAGAAAACATCCCGAATATCCCAAATATCCCGAACGAAAATTTCAGTTTGATCCCAAAAGGTTTTTATTTAAATAATGATAAAAATATTTTATTTTTTACTTTTATTTATTTTAGTCTATCATTTAATTAAAAATATTTTAATTCAATTTGTTTATTTATTAATATATCTGTTTTTTAAAAATACAGAAATGAACCAGAACTCCATGAACCACACGAAATTCCGTTATTTCGAAAATAATCTAACAGCGAACAAATCAAACTCTGACGAAAATCGTATCGAAACGTACCACATAACGAAACGAGACAAGGCTAATACTTTCGGGTTCAGTATTAAGGGTTCCAAACCGGTAAAAATAGCCCAAATAAACATGGACAGTCCGGCCCGAGACACTGGTCTGCAACTTGGGGATGAAATTTTAGCCATCAACGGCATCAACGTTATGGAGAATTCTTCAAAATCGGTGGCTCTCTTGATTAAATCTACAAAAGTTGAGATGCATTTGACAGTTAGGAAGCCTTCAATCTGTGATTCTGGCATTGGAATGAGCTTGTACGAGAACGTTGTTATGGGATCGTGCTCTGGAAGTGAGGTTGGAAAGGATTGTGAAAGGAGTTTGATGGGAGTTAGAAACAAAAGCGTCAACATACAGCAAGCAGTTGCTAACGATACTACCGTTCTTGAAAATAGTTACGTTGAAATAAATTCAATCAAGTATAATGTTAGAAACTCACAAAAAATTGAGAACCATTTGCCGAGAAATCATTCGAGAAGGAAAATTAAAGCATGGAAAATGACATCAGTGAGAACATTCCAAAGCCGTTACCATCCAGTCAATCAAAACAACCCCACCCAACAACGTCAGAATCTAATGAGAAGAAAAATGTTAAAAAGCAGCAGACACTTCGACAGCCAGTTCCATTTGAAACGAGGCAAATATTACAAGTGGGAACCAAACATGAGTTCCATACTTGGTCAGTCTTCATCGTCCTCATACGATCACCATTCCAGTTCGATATCTCCATCATTCACGAATGAACATTTAAATTCCTATGATGTCCTCCAGTTATCCGCCATGAATAATGCCCAACTCTTCCCGAGCAGTTTTGCTCTGGCCGATTCTTCGCTTTATAGTTCAGACCCTACATCAAATTATTCTATCGGGAGTGCGCATGATCAATCTACTATCAACAAATCATTTGTGTGCACGCCTAGTAGTGCCGACGACTGCACTCTGGTTGATCTTGGCGTGGATTCTGACGTGAATGTGACACCGGACGATGAAACCTTGAGTTCAAGTTTGGAAGATGTTTCTGAGGATGGAAGTTTTTGTCGGCCTGCTGATGAATCTTACAATCAGTTAAATTTTAAAAAGGTTAGTTGAATTTTAATTGAATATCTACACGAATTTTGAAATATTAGTTTAGATATAAATTATTTTTATGCGTTCAAATTTATTTTTCAATTTCTACTCTTTTGATTTTTGTCTAACTACAAAATGCATTTAAAAAAATCAACTTTTTTTTTATCATTTTAAGTTTTAAATTTCTGTTTAATCATTTAATATTTCAATTTTGATTCTTTGAAATCTTTTCAATTTGTCTTTTTTTCCAGTAATAAAATAGTTTTTTTTAAAGGAACTCAATATCCTCTTCCTAATTTTGACCTTTTAATTAAAATCGCGCCACAGAAGCCCTGCCATCTGGAGACGCTCGTTGAAATTGAAGACGTCTTCACGAAGAACGTGTCACCAGGCATACAGCATTACGTCAGAGCCCTCAGAGGGAACGGTTTCGTCAGCATTAAAGAGCACGCCGATCTCTTTCAAAATCTCGAAAAGGTGTTGCTGGATTTGCTGGCGTGTGCGAGTGTAATTGTGTATTTTAGCGTAGGCGTGTGTATTTTAGCAGGTGTGTGTGTGTGTGTGTATTTTAGCTATTTTAGCGTGTGTGTGTAGTGTGTGTGTGTTTTTGGTTGTGTGTGTGTGTGTTAATTGAGTAGTATGTGTGGGTGTGTATGTGTCTGTAATACTTATGACTTCAGAAAATATAAAAATGACAAATTTTTTTTAACAGCTGGTAAAAATTTCGCAATTTTTCCGAAATGAACTACTCAACAGCAGCCGTAGCAGCAGCGTCAATGACCACAACCACCACAACAACACCAATACCAAGAGTAAAAATAGCAATACTATAAACCACGCCTTAGCAAAAGACAAAAGTTTAGATTGCAATAACAACAAAGTCAAAAACATAGAAACCAACAACGATTCAATTGGTGTTGATTTTAACAGCATTTTACTGCAGAATAATAGTAGCAGTTCCAACAACCACAATAATAATAACAACAACAAAAATAACAACCACAGCAGCAACAACAATGATACATTCCATAGTCTTTTACTCCGAAACCTCAAAAACAATAAAAACGACGACGATGACGTCATTTGTAAAACAATCAACAACAACATCAACAACAACATCAACAACATCAACAAGAACAACATCAACAAGAACAACATCAACAAGAACAGCATCAACAACAGCAACATCAACAACAACATCAACAACAACTACGTCAACAACAACAACATCAACAACAACATCAACAACAACAACAACATCAACAAATTATTAGGCCCATCATTTCTATCCAAGATAAAAATCATGAAAGACATGTACGAAATATACAGTGAAGGCATGCCGAAAGCCTGGTCGACTTTGAAACGCTTGCGAAAGAGCAGATGGGATTTTTTCCATTTCGAAAAAGTAGTTGAATAATCTCTTGAAGAAATATTTTATTATTATTATCATTATAGTTATTATTATTATTATTGTTATTATATTATTACCATTGTTCATTATTATTTATAATAATTACAATGGTAATAAAATTTCAGGAGCAGCAGAAACAACACGGAATCCAATCCATTGATCACTTCCTATTGGTCCCGCTCATTCACGTGATTCTGGTTTCAAACGAATTGAAAACTTTTTTCCCGCCAAATCATGATGGCGGCCATGATGGCGATGCTAACGAAGTGGACAAATTCAACGGTATGCTAATAATTATAATTAATATTGTTATAATAATAAGAATAATAATAATATTAATGATGATGATGATGATATTGAAAATAATAATTATTTTTATTGTTATTTATATATACCTTTCTATGTTACAAATATTTAAAATAAAAAATTTTCAATTGAATTTTCAATAAAATGTATCAATAACAAACACAGATCTCGCTCTTGCTTGCAGTCGAACCATGAACCTTCTAGTCAACGAGGACGCCGATGACGATGATGACGAAAAGCATTTTAATTATTCAACAATCACCATGGGAGATCTTTGATTTCATACCTTCATTGAGTGATGTGTTTCTGTGTGTGCGTGTGTGTGCGTGTGTGTGTGTGTGTGTGTGTGTGTGCGGAAATAAGTATGTGTGTATGCGCGTGCATATGGGAACAACGTATGTACTTAGTGAATATAAATGTGTGTGTGTGTGTGTTACATACATGTATTTGATGTATAGAGATGTATAGGTACAATGTTTATGTAATATGTGTGTGTATTTGTGGACCTGTACACAGTTTATTTTAGACTTTCCAATGTCTGAAGCTTGTTTTCCGAATTTGTGTGACCAAATGAATTTTTTCTTCTTTCTTAAACAAATATTGATTTGAATCGAGACACGAAGGAGAGTATATTACTGGTAAAGGAAAAGAATAAGTCGTCAAGTTTCTTACTTTTAGCTTAAATCTAGGCAAACCCCCAATCAAACCCACTAAAGATATGACATCAATGGAGTCGTTGTCTACATGTCAAGACAATAAATTCACTTTTAAACAGTAATTAATAAGAAGGAAAAGGGTTTTTTTAGAGTATTCATCACCAATGCCAGAAAATGCAACTGTCTTCACGAAAGAAAATGTCATTTTCAGTTTTTTCCAAAACATTCGTGCATGTTGAACACCTGATTGATGGACAGATTCCTATACGATGTATAAATTTATTTCGTTTTTTTTTCTATTTAGACATATTTTTCATATTTTTGTCATAATTTCAATAAAACAACGCGTTTTAACTTTAATAATTGATTCTAAAAATCGAAAAATTTGGCATCGAAGCCTTTATTTCAGAAATATTTGACAGATTAACGTGAGACAAATAGCTTGGCTACATCAAATTTATGAAATTAAAGTTGAAAAAGTGAAGAAATAGTTGACAAATAGTGAAAGACTGTTGTTGTAGAGCGATTCGTGACGTATATTGTTGTTGAATTTATGACGCAACGCCCGTAAGGGTTGCAATCTTGTAAGCTTTCAAGCTATGAAGGACTCGCTTTTGAAAATTCTTTCTCGGTGACGTAACGACGAACAACGATAATGACGTCACAAATATGAGCCCACAAGCCCCACGCAGACACACACACACACACATAGACATACACATAGACACACATAGACACACACATACACACAGAGACACACACACACAGACCATTATGATTTTTGAATATGGTAGACGCAATTGCTAATGTTCCGAACAAACAACAAGCAATAAGATGCTGGAAAATTGAGAATTTGTAAGATATTATCTTATTCCAGTTTAACAAAGTTTGACAGATATAAAATTTTGGCTGAAATTGAAAAAGAGAGAGAGAGAGAGAGAAAAAGAGAAAGAGGGAGAGGGTGTTGGAGAGATTAGATTAACTCTAACAAAAATACTTAGGTTAGTACAAGTTACAAGATATCACGTTGATAAATTAACAACATTACCAGCAACAAATAAGCTGAAAACTCCGTGTTATGTTCTCCAACACATGAAATAGTTGATGCTTAATTTTATTTTTCTATTTTTTTTTTTTACAAACCGTTTATGTATATTGTATTTAAAAATACCCAACAATTGTACAAAACACACCGTATATACAAAGTATAGTATGTGAATATACAAAATGTAATATACAAATATGCAAATACAAAATATTGTATTGTATCGCATCGATTATTGTGCACAATACACACGTAGCAGTGCAAGCAGCAGGGTGTGTTGACACAGTGTTTTTTTTACGAATACCCCACGTGTATAATATTACAACACATATACAAACAAACATACAAATAAACAAACAGACAAACATACATACAAACATACAAAGTTTATACAAACCGCCCACATCACGTGCCTTCTCGTCCGTGGAACATGATGAATACACCTGCTTCCGTTGGATATGGAAATTTTTGGATTGATTGATTGAGGAAATAAGTGAATAAATGGATGAATGATTGATTGATTGGTTAGCTGGCTAATTGATTGATTAATTGGTTGTTTGGCTAATTGATTGGTTGGAGGGTTAATTGATTGATTGATTGGTTGGTTGGATAGTTTATTGATTGATTGGTTGGTTGATTGGATGGTTAATTGATTGATTGATTGCGTAAATGAGTGAGTGAGTGAGTGATTAATGATTATTTTGAAGCGTCTTGATATACAGAAAAACTTGTCATTCCACCTTGTTTCAAATAACTCCATTCATAATATCCCATTTATTAAATGTAAAAAATATATAAAAAAACACACACGCACGCACGCACACACACAACACACGCACAGATACACAACACACGCACATACACATGCACACACACATATACACTCATAACCGACCGCAAAATTCCACACAAAGTCGATTTGATGTATAGGCGTGCATTTATGACATCATGAACTTCTTAATGGCTTCAATAACACGTCATCTATGACATCACCGTGTGACGTCACATCGGCACTTTCAATGAAAATATACACGCAAATACACAACCCATATAGTAATAATAATAATAATGATAATGATAATAATGATAATAATGATAATAATAATAATAATAATAATAATAATATAAGCATCATCATCATCATCGTCATTAGAAATTTCATCATCACCACATGAAAACAGAGCCAACACAAACATAATCACATGACTCCCATCACAACATCATCATCATCGCCATCATCACCAACAAAAACAACATTACTATGTTCGCGCTATCTCTGGCGGAAGCAATAAATAACATTAGTGTTGACGTCACATCAACCTTATGACGTCACGCTGACGTGTGCGTAATGTACGTGGATGGGCCGAACTTCCTTTTATGAGGCGCTTCACTTTTGAGTACATTTAACATTTTGTTTTAAGACGTTTTTACTCAACTTTTGTGCATACAAAGATGTTTGTATGTGTGTATGTGTGTTTGTTTGTTTGTGTGTATTTGTATTTTGTATGCATTTGTATAGGTGTGTGCGTGCAATGTAACTTGTACACAGTATGCTTTAGTGTATAAGTACAGAATTTGAATTTTTTAGAATTAGTGTGTATACAAAGTTTGTATATTTCTGCAATTTTGTACATTTGTGTGTGTATATTTGTATTTGCATGTACGTGTGTGTGTGCGTGTGTGTGTGAGTGTGTGTGTGTAATTTGTATGTGCTACTTAGTACGTCAGGCTGTTTGCTGATGTTTTCAAAAAACGGTTTTTGTTTGTTTAAAGACGTGTTTATGGTTGCGCTCTGGTGATTTATTGAGGTGCGAATGCCTTTTACATTGTTGTTTAGAAATCGTTTTGTGTCTTTTAAAAGACGGACTTTCATGTCTATGTGTGTATGTGTGTGTATATATGTGTGTGTATGATTATGTATATATGTGTGTGTGTGTGTGTGCATGTGTGATAAATGTGTGTGAGTGTTGGTTTTTTTTTTCTAAAGATAAGATCTTTGGTTTTTCTTTCATACAGTTTTCAAACCAAATTGATAACAAACAAAAATCTTAAAACTACTACAGCACAAGATTTTGTCTGTTGTTAATGTGATTGTTGTTGTTAGTTGTTACTGTTGTTGTTGTTAGTGGTGATGATGACGTCAGAGTGACGTATGTTTTTTTGTTGCAGACAATGTTTTAGCGCTTGGCGAAATGCTGTGGGTATTTCTGTTTAATTTGTAACTTCATCTCCGATAAGAAAGGCGGTGATGCTTGTGTCCGCCCTACCAACCTACCTACCTGACTGACTCGAAAAATAAGGTTACACGAAGATTTTTCACTTTCTTTCTCTTCCTTTTTCTCTCTTTCTTTCTTCCTATCTTTCTTTCTTACTTCCCCCCTCTCTCATTCTCTTTCTCTTTCTTTCTCTCTCTCTCTTCCATTCATTTTTTTATTTTTTTAATACTCTTTCACTCTTTTTTTTTATTAGTTTTTTATTCTTTTTTCTATTCTCTTTTTCCCACATTCCTGTTTCTATCTCTCTCCCATGTTCTGTTTATTTATTTATTTATTTTTAAAATTTATTTATTTTAGAGTTTAATTTTTATTGCAATTTTTAATTTTATTCAATAATCATAAAATTTCCTAACGAGATTAAGGGCTGCTTTGAAGATGGTCATAAATGTATTAGGCTGTTTAAAACGTTATTAAGGTTTGTACTCATCAAATGTGTTTGTTTGTTTGTTTGTATGTTTGTATGTATGTAAGTTTGTAAGTTTGTTTGTATGTGTGTTTGCATGTTTGTTTGCATGTATGCATGTATGTATGTATGTAGGTATGTATGTATGTATGTATGTATGTATGTTGTATGTATGTATGTATGTATGTATGTATGTACGTATGTATGTATGTATGTATGTATGTATGTATGTATGTATGTATGTATGTATGTATGTATGTATGTATGTATGTATGTATGTAGGTATGTATGTATGTATGTATGTATGTATGTATGTATGTATGTATGTATGTATGTATGTATGTATGTATGTATGTATGTATGTATGTATGTATGTATGTATGTATGTATGTATGTATGTATGTATGTATGTATGTATGTATGTATGTATGTATGTATGTATGTATGTTCGATTGTGTGTTTTTTGCATGTGTGTTTCTTGGTTATTTTGCTTTTTTGAAAGTATGCACACATACATGCGTGTTGTATAAATGTATGTTTGTATGTTTGTTTGCTGGTTAGTTTGAATGAATGTATGTGTATGATCTTTGTAAGCCAATAATAATAATAATAATAATAATAATAATAATAATAATAATAACCCAAATATTAATCAGAACAGTAATAATAAATCCATCCATCCAATAAGTGTCAATATCATGTATATACACACACACACAAACACACACACAAACACACACACATACACACACATATATAGATATATTCAGGTTTACATCCATATATCCAGCAGACGTATTTATTCAATTAGGAGTATTACAGCAAGGAGCTATATAGCATAAATCATCATTATAAGATGTCTACATGTTGGGTGACAAGTTGTTCATTTGATAAGGGA